GTTTTGCTAGCGCCATGGCAGATGTTAAGTGCCATTAAAATCCATGGAACAAATGATGCAGTTGAGCGATCGATTGGACATAGGATGTTAAAAATATTAAAGTAATAATTAACCATAAATTAAAAGCTAGAATAAAAAAAACTTAAAGAGTTTATCCACCAACAGGAAAAGCTTACTAAGAATTTTCCAATTTATTTTTCAACATTTTCAGGGAATTTCTTCCATCACTCGACCACCGTATTACAACTGCTTAAGTATTAATGCATGCGACCAGACAGGATGCGGAAATGGCTAATTCCGTAATTCAAGAAGGACCAAGAGAAACCAAGTCGAGAGGCTGGAATAGGCAGCACATAAGTCCATTTCAACCGGCAGCAAAGCAATCCTTTCAGAGCAGGACACTCCAGTCTAGCCTGTCCCCGCCAAAATACAAAAAAAAAGGAAGCACAAAAGAGGATAATCGAGGGGAGGAGAGGGAGAGAGGGGTGGTGCCCAGCGCAGCCCCATTTGGTTATCTGGCAATGCACTTCACAAAATACTGGGGCAATAGAGGGTTAAGCTCTACTAGAGTGGGCGGCCCTGTTGTTACAATAAGCAAAATGCAGTGAACTGCAAAACATACAACTTCATGGTTATTTTGCTGTTTAGTTAGCTGCCATATTTTTCCATCCCATCCTCCCTCTGGTTCCTTCCCTCCGTCTAGTGGGGGTGTGTCCGACGCCCACTTAACAAATATCAACTAAAATAGCTTTATATATTGTTGAGATAATAAAAATCCAGCAGTGTTCGCTGGAGGAGTACAGACAGCAGGACTACAAGACCCATGTTGCGTCTGTGTGTGCATGATGGTGCTTCAAAGCCAAAGGATAAACGATAAGTAGTATAGTATTGTAAAAAAAGTACAATAGAATCATAAAGTTTAGCTTGTTAAAGGGCATTGAACTAACAAGTTTAAAATTGCAATAGCTAAGAATAAAAAATAATAAAATATCTTCCGAGTATACTATCTTTGAGCACCTTTTACCCTTTTATAATTGACTGAAATAAGACAGCTGGTGAGGATGGCCATTTTAAGCTCGGGCAGAGAACCGATCACAACGACTTGATTAGGGCCGGAACACAAAAGCCGTTGACAAGAGATAAACCTTTGACTTGGCACAGGCTTGTGGACCCCAGACCATTGACCGCCCGCCTACTTCGGGGCCAACTCTCTTCTGGCTTTGGCCCATCCCTTTCAATGAGCTTCAGTCTGCAGCTAAGTGGGCGTGGCCGGCTTGTAATAACTCACGCCTTTTGACACAGATTAAACCGGCATAAAGACAATGCTGGAATGAGGAAACTGCAACGATGACGACGACAGAAACAAACTTGGCCAAAGGATTCCGTGACCCCGTTCGTCCCCGGATGCGTGCGTGTGTGGGTGGGTGGCTTGTATAAATGTTAGCCCTTATTGTTTGCCAGCTCCAGTGGACATGTTGGTAGGTTGGTGTGTACGGCCTGGTCATGCAGGCTGCACAAATCTCGATGTGAGCCAGACATGCTTCTGCCCACACAGGCCCTGCCTCCTCTCGTTTCCATCAAGCCAGGCTGCTGCTCATCTTCATTGTGGCTGATGGCTTCCATTGTCCTGTGACAACTCCTGCGGCGACATCAGCTGCCTTCAGTTGAGGGAAGAGCATCCAGATCGCACATTATCCATGTTATCTTTTTCAACGATATATGACAGAGCCCTGTGTCCTTGCATATTTTATCATTAAATGTATCATTATTTTTCTTTCAGGATGTTTAAGGTTCGCGTGGGGAGAATACATCACTTTTAATCAGAAACTACTGATGTACTTTTTTTTTTTTAGCTAAATTAAGACATTTGACTTCAATTCAGATTGTTGAATACTATTTTTTATTGCATTTCTTATTACCATTGATGGCCACAAATTTTTCCATTATCTTGACTTTTACGGAATGGATTTTCTTGTTGCATTGCCATTTCCTGTTTGTTGTCCTTTTGTGGCTGGCTTTGGGTTTCGTCGAGACAGCGTCATGCATAATATAAATTTTACTCAAAACGCATCGACTAAAGGGAAAATTCTATGCATTTTATATTATGCCGTACTACTCAGCCAGCGGGCATTCAAGCAGTATACATATTACATATATGCAGATGAAAGTTTCATTTTGCCACACACCCACAGCACCCTTTTCACAGCCACATACGCACAGGGATACGCTCCTTCCCACACACATGGGAGCATTACCTATGCTCTGTGTGGATCTATAGCAGTTCACCTAGGTCCCTGGCCAGATCCCTCATTTGCTGCGTGGCAAAGAATTCAGCATGTAAATGGGTTTAGCGTGTGATGCCAGTGAGCGACTAGCTTGTTGCATAATGCATCCCATGTCTGCTTTGGAAATGACAAATTTCCAGCAGCAATTGCAAATGCTGGACGCGCCAGGAATACATTTAGCATTTATTTTATTTTTACAGGCTATTTACATGAAGGTTTACGGAAGATATCCTAAAAACATCCTCCTTATAATACTATTATTATTTTTTTATTAATCAAGGAGAAAAATTGTTAATATGATAGAATTCTTGCCTAAAGAACCCTTGTATATCATTTCTCTAATTCTGTAGTCACTCATAAATTAAATATGAGCCTATTTGTCCCTTCAGCTACTTGGATGCATTGAAAATGCCCCCTGCCACCGATATTTGTGGCAGTGGCTGGGCTATATAGCAGTTTCTGTTGCAATTTCTGTTTTGAAATTGGCTTGTTTTGGTCCTTTTTTTATGCGCCCAACGTTCAACGTTCAACGTCGACCGTGCTGCAAGCGCCTGGAGTCCGTGGCCTTTGTTTTGTAATTGTTTCGAGAGTGGGCGTAAGGGGTGGGGGAGGCCGACAGGGCGGATACAGTAGGCGGCGAAAGTTAACGTCATTGTCGTTCCTGAACTCGGCGACGTTGTGTCGTTGCCGTTGTCGTTGTTGGCCCAAAAGAAGAGGAACGACATTAGCGGCAACTGTTTTGAGTGCTGCTTCCTGTCGGTCCGTTCTTTATCGTTCCTGCCTCAGCCGCAGCCACTCCCCCCATGATCCCCCCAGTCTCCGTCTCCTCCAATAGCCTTCCAGCCTGCCCCACCCACTGGACGCTTTCAAGTGGCATTCGAGTGGCAGCCATTGTGCAGCATTATGATGAAAGTTTGTGTCGCAAAATGCAAATATTTGAAAGGTAATTGAATTTGAACTTTGCCGCTCGTCGTTAGCTATTTGTATGGCTGTGTGTGAGTGCCAGGTAGTTGGGCAAAGAGTGTAGAATATGGAATGTAGTGGTGTGTTTTGTTGTGTCGAGCGGCGTGGGCGGGTCGAGGCTTTAAGTGCCTGATATCGCGCATGCAACGGCATTAAAGCTTCGATGGCAAATATTTATCAAACGGCTTACATGTTTTATTTGCCCAAGCCGAACGGTCAACATGGCTCAGAGCCCATAGCAGCCTCCTCGTCCACCCCGAACTCATTTGTTTGTCGTTCAAATTATATACAACATTTGAACACCCATGGCATCGGCTTTCAGTTTCCATGTTTCCGAGAGCAAACGAAAATCCATAGAAGTACATCTGCCCTGTCCCTGCCACACTTTTGGGGCATGCCGCAGGTGCATTGAACAATAAATTTTACTCAAAATAAACAATTATTTAGACATGATTGGCTTGTTGCATTATTTTTTGTTAACCCCATTTTTTTTTGTGCAAATTGAGTTCTTGTAACAAATTGGGTTTTTGTTTTAAATTAATTGCCTTGATTTGGTAAAAAATACTCTGGAAAAACGCTTAAAAAATAATGAGAATTGAATAAGTTATTAAATAAATAAAGTTAAAATCAATAATGTCTTTATTTAAATTTTTGTTTTTCCTGGAACTCTCAGAACTCTGGCACCAAAAGCCAACCTTAATTAGTTATCACAGACACCAGAAAGGAGCTATTCTGTTCTCTTCTGTTGCGGTTAACGCCCAAGGATCTGGGTGCCTGACAGGAGTTTTCTAGTCACTTCCTTTGACCGCGTCAAAGGCAGCATTGCAATGGAAAATGGTTTGGGTTTATTCTTCTACCGACTGACAAGAACGACAAAAACATGAAAATAGTATGAAATTCTAACACAAAAAATACATATTTTGGAAAATTGTTAAAACATGGGATATGTATGACATAATATGCGTTTCTCGAGATATGCAAGTTGTTTTCAAAAGGCGTGCCACTTTTGAAAGTGACGCTCCTTTGACGAAACTGGCATGACTCCTTCGAGGTCCATTGTTGGATGACTTTTGATTAAAAGCAGAAAACGCTGGTCCGCAGCTCGTGTCCAAGCAACTGAGATTGATGTGAAAAGGGAGGCTGGTTGGCTCCCATCAAAGTCAAAAATGCTCCGCTATTGACAAGTAACCGAAGGGCGATGGGATGTGAGAGTTTGAGCTCGGAATCCGCTGGCTCTTGTATCGCTTACTGTTTTTGCCGGCGCGTGCAAATTTCTAATTTCATTAAAATTTGTTCAAAGGCAGCTTCGATGGGTGTTGGATGGATGGATGGGATGTCGGGGGCCCCAGACGTTGACAGGAATCGGCACAATAGACGTCAAGCACATGGTCTGCAGTGGGCGTAGCTGGGGGCTGGCCACTGTGGCAATCAAAAAGCGCCGATCAAAGTGGAAAATCGATTTTAATTGCAATCTAGTCGCAAAGGTTTGGCGTTCGATTAGCGGTCAAGTGGGAGTACGTGTGTGCATTTACGAGGCGTGGCACAGGACTCTGGTCCAGTTTAATTGCTCGTATTTCGCTCTTTACTTTTTGTTGTACCTGTGTTGCACATCTGAGCTCTAAAATGGTTGAAATCAAACTTACTTTTGTACTTTTACCGAAATCATGAGCAAAACTCTGTTACATACTAAAACATTGCTAGGACTTCAAAATTTAAGAAAAAATTTGGAATCAGCCTTTCATTGAAATTTCATTCGTGTATGTCGAATCAGTTCGTATCACTTTTTAGAAGCTATAAACTAGTCGGTGGGGCAGCGCGCCAACGAAACAACCTAAAAATCTCGAAAAATGCCGTGCAGTCATTAACATCATTTTAATCATTAAAATCGATTTTCTTAGCGTTTTACGAATTTGACCACAAAATTGACTGCCCACGAATATTAAAATCACGCGCGAGTTTAGCCATTCCAAATTTCCTGTCTACAAGAGCCGATCCAATTGCAAGAATGCTGACCCAAAAGAAGTCGCTGCTGCCACACGTCCTGCGCCAGGTGGTCAACCTGCTGGCGACACTCCCCAGCCGCCAATTCCACGTGGATAACACCAGCCGCCAATTCCACGTGGAGAACTCTTACCCGATGCCGCAGCCCCGGAAAGATCTCAAGCGGATGACGCCGCCGGAGAAGGACAAGGTCTACGACGCCTGCTGGCAGACGACACGCCGCACGGAGTATAAATGCCGCTCGGACATTGAGTTCAATGTGCCGGCCTTTATCGATGCCCGCAAGGGCTGCCTGAAGGACTGCGCCCTGGAGATGGACGCCTCCGATCTGGCCCACTACAGGCCCCAAGACATGCTGAAGCGCAAGTATCAGCGCACCTGGTACGAGTGCGTCATCAAGAAACCCCGTCGTAAGGCTTACTGCGTCCACAAGCCACCGCCGCTACCTCGCCGTCCCCGCAAAATACCCAGGACCAGCGCATGCAATCGGCCGCCCTTCGCTCTGGGGCGCGTTGACCTGGGGCTGAAGAAATGTACAAAGAAAAAAATGGACTGCCCTCGCTTCTGTATGCCGAATTGCGTTAAGGAAGCCCGCAACCCACCCAGGTGCAAGCGGCCGTTCCGCGGCGGACTCTGCACCAGGCGGAAGTGCAAGTACCCAAGCTTCTCCGAATGCCGCCACGATCCCATCCCGGATGCCCGTCCCATCGAGTGCAACTGCCTGGCCAGGCCTGCCATCTGCGACATGTGGCGGTTCTATCGACGTAGAAACTAATCATTAGAAGGTCTACGCAGCGATGGTGATCTTGGCCGTATTACTTTATTTTTAATATCTGCAGAACTTTGTAAAATTTGAGGACTATATGATAAAAAAAATCAAGTGAATTGTTAGTAAAAAAGTAAAAAAAAAAATTATAATTGGAAAAAAAAACTACATTCTTTTTTTTTCACAACACAATTGACACCTTTGAATTTCAGCAGACTTAGAATATGCACTTGCAGGGCGTAGACACCAGATTGCAGAACATTTTCAAATAAATGCAATATGCAACAGCCAATACACGAAATTGTATCTGCAGATTGTCCGAAATGGTTACATTTCCCGTGATATAACCGAATTCCATTACGCAGATACAAATCAAATTGGCGAAAAGGCATTGAAAGGGATCAGACGAGGGTTGGTGGCTGTTGGTAGTGGTCCTGTAACGTTAAGGAGGGAATATGCAAAAATCAAATTACCAGAACTTGAAAAATCGCAGACATCACAGACCCATAAATCAGTGAATGGGAAACGGGAAATGGAAACGTATATAAGAAATTGTTACCGCTAGTTAACGGTTTATTGATGCGTCTCTTTTAGCTGAATTTATTGGCCTGGTCGTTGGTCTTTCGTTTTCCCCACACACCACACACCAATGCAAATTGGCCAAAATCCAGGAGCGAGCTGGAAGGAAATCGTGCAAAATGCTTCAAAATTGATTCGGCTCTTTGCCGTCTCGTTTAGTCGCTCAAATGTGCCGAAAACTCTTGAACAAAAAATGTTGATTCGGACTTGGGGAAAGCTTTCCAATTTGCAAGAAATATATGATAAAGAGGCGATGAGGATAGGAACTTAATAATACTATTTTTTAACCCTTTTTTCGCTATTAAAAATGTTGGTCCCTGTTGGATTGGCACTTGCCTTGTTGGTTTTAAAATGCCAATCTTAGAACACTCTTCCCCCCACATCATACATCTTGGAACACATATGTATATTCGGACACTGCAACTAAAATAAAATTCCACATTATACCATCCACCAGGGCAGGTGTGATCGCCTCCAGCCATGACCTCCAATTCGCTGACAAGACGCAGTTCGGCGGACAATGAGCAGGCCCGGTGCCGACAGGTGGAGAACGCTGCCCTACACTTGCCCAGCTACGCCGACCGGTACACAGACATCCCCCGCCTTACTCGCCTCAAGTTCATCGCCCAGGTGTGTCCCAAGCTGCGGGTCCCGGCGCTAGAGCTGGCCATTGACCACGTGAAGACCACCTACAACGTGAAACTCTACGACGAGCTATACAAGACCCTGTGCGCCGAAGTGGGGGCGCTGGCTAGGAAGCAGCCGGCGAACGACGACGAGGCCAGCACCTCCAGTGGCAGGAACCGGCGCGCCCAGCCGTACGACACCTTCTGGGTGGAGGACAACACCATTGAGTCTAGCTTGATGCTCCAGGAGCTGGACGCCGAGCTAAACTTTAAGAAATCGAACTCGGGCAGTGCCAATGTGAGGCGAATTCTGGAGGAGATCGGCGACTACCATGAAAAGAGCGGAAACCTGCAAATGGCCATCAAGTTCTATGCTCGAGCCAGACCCTACTGCACCAGCAGCGACAACGTGATCAACATGTTCCGCAACCTCATCCGGGTATCCATCTACATGGCCAACTGGTGGTACGTGCTCACCTACATCGACGAGGCCAAACAGTACGCCTTCGGTTACGAGAACCTGTCCCAGGAGGTACCGGCCCGACTAAGCTGTGCTGCCGGGCTGGCCAACATGGGTCTAAAAATTTACAAGTCGGCAGCTCAGAGCTTTCTGCAGACCTCCTTCGGACGGTACGACTACGACAAGATCGTGGCCCCCGAGGACCTGAGCTTCTACGCTGGCCTCTGCGCCCTGGCCACCTACGATCGGGAGAAATTACAACTAAACGTCATCAACTCGGAGGCTTTCAAGCCCTTCTTCCAGCTGACCCCCAAGATGTGGAATATCCTGGCCAAGTTTTACGAGGGTCAGTCCGAGGTTTGTGAAGAGCTGCTCCGCGAGATTGAGGACCAAATACGGCTAGATGTCTATCTGGCGCCCCATGTCGATAAGCTATACGAGATGATCATTAACAGACTTCCCAAGAAAAAGGAAAAGAAAGCAAAGTACGAGTATTTGAAGAGATACAGTACAACCTCATCAGCCACATAATGAAGGCAGGTGGACGGAGGAGTAGCCACAATCTTAAAGGATAGACTCCAAGCTAGGTTCCTTTTTTATAGGTGTGTGATTTATTTGGGAAGCAAACTTCATTCATTTTAGTTATTCAGCGGGCTATCTTCGAAGGCGTTAAAGATTCATGGATAAAATAATTTGGGGAAAATAAAAAATTTAAGTAAACCAAAATGTGACTCATGTATAAGATAATTGAATAACTTCCTTTAGTTAAAAGTTAAAATAGCTATAGCTATAGCTCTTCCAATTCTTATCCGATCAGGAAATGAAGTACCATTTAGTAATCATTTCCTCATTCAAAACATTGCTAAAATAACGTTTTGAAATTTTTCGAATTTTTTCCTAGGGGTACCCCTACAAAAATGTGGGTTTTCGCAATTTCCCCACTTTTTCTCCTTCCGATGGCTATAGCTCTGCCAATTCTTATCCGATCAGGAAATGAAGAACCATTTAGTAATCAGCGAACCCAGAAGCTACTTTCCTCATTCAAAACACTGATAAAATATCGTATTGAAATTTTTTGAATTTTTTCCTTGGGGTACCCCTACAAAAATGTGGGTTTTCGCAATTTCCCCACTTTTTCTCCTTCCGATGGCTATAGCTCTGCCAATTCTTATCCGATCAGGAAATGAAGAACCATTTAGTAATCAGCGAACCCAGAAGCTACTTTCCTTATTCAAAACATTGGTAAAATATCGTTTTGAAATTTTTCGAATTTTTGCCTTGGGGTACCCCTACAAAAATGTGGGTTTTCGCAATTTCCCCACTTTTGCTCGTTCCGATGGCTATAGCTCTGCCAATTCTTATCCGATCAGGAAATGAAGGACCATTTAGTAATCAGCGAACCCAGAAGCTACTTTCCTCAGTCAAAACATTGCTAAAAAATCGTTTTGAATTCTTTTATTTTATCAAACTATATCTTATATCATGTCAACTGATCCAAATTATTTGAAGAATTTTTAGTTAAATATACTCTTATTTTTTGGTAAATAATTAAATCCTGATTGCTCTGACTATCTACACAAGACGACAAGTAGAAACAACACACATAATTGCAAATTTTGTGTGCTCAGTAGAACGAATAAGCGAAGTTGTAAGCCCGACAAAATAGAAAATGGCAGGAAAGACTGTCAGAGACGCCTAACTTGATTCAAGAATACCATAGACATAGTGCAGGAGCAAGTGAGAGGGCCAGGAGCAGATAGAAAGAGACTTCCAAATCGACGCTCAAAAGATTCAAGCTTCGTGAAATATTGCACAGTTGAAGTGATTTTTATGAACTCTTCAAAAGTAGCTCAGGGTGAGGATAGAAGGAACTTTGTACAACATAAAGATTCACGGCACGCTAACGAGCTTAAAGATGGTGCACAAAGTGCGCATTGAAATTGCTCCCAGCCTGAAGTGCAAGGAAATGGGTAAGATATAATGCCCCTATCTGCCTCACTATCACCCCGCCCAAGCCCAAGCCAAAATCTAGAGGCGATTTTCATTTGGAAACTTTGCAAACGCAAACCAAATTCCGGTAAGTGGCAAAAGGTCAAGAGCGGATCAGACTTTGGGAGTAATAAGCTTTATTTCTCCTTCACGGAAATAAGAAATCATATTAAATTTTACAGGTTTGTTAACAATCCGTAGGTTGAATGAATTCAAATTAATTTTTATATTGAATAATAAGATTTATTTAGTCAATATTGACTAAGAAATAACCCCAAGTAGTGATTATTCGCCATAGTTTCCTTATAACTTCTTGCTGATTTGTTTCTTTGGGGTTTACTTTTCTATATCCCCAGCAACATTTAAGATCCCAATTATACAAAATTTCTGATCCGCTCTCACAAAGGGTAAAGTGCTGGATTAAAAATCAGGATGATTTCGGTAGAACACAACATTTTGGAGGAGGTTAGAGCCACCTGGGCTACGGAAAATTGAAACGGTTTTCTGCTGGGTGGAAAAACTTGGCTCAGACATTGTGTTGAGTAATTCTTTTGTAATGCGGAAGGAAGCTCAAAACAACACAGTGCACAGCGATTTCCGGGGGAGCGGAAAAACTTTAAGACAAAGCCCAGAACTGACCCCTGTTCGGCGGGTTGAAAGAGGGGTGCATTGAAAAGGGGCATGGAGATAAATTGCTGCAGTGTTTAGTTAATTCTTCTGACCGTCCCACGCCTCATCCTGCTGCGTTCAATTCGCCAGGATACTGAAGGAACAGTGGCGCAGCAGCCTCCCAGCAAGGAACAAGGAACAGCAGCTGGCCCGACAAGTTTATCTTTTGTTACATTGACTTCCGCTAAAAGATACTAAACTAGGAAACATTCTTCTTCGCTGCCGTTTCGTTTTTTAGTTTTATTTGCTTGCATTTCCTACAGGTTACCGTCAAACTCCCCGTCTAGCAGCAAAGGCAATAGGAAAAGTTAACAGAAATTAAAACGCAGCTGGGCATTGCCCGGAAAGGGCACTGGAAAAAAGGCATTACCTATCGATTTAATTTTTAAAAATATGAATATTTTAATTTTTCATTAAAAAAGCTTTCACTGAAGTACAAATACGAAATACAAATCAATTATTTATGAAATAAATGAAATGAAAAACTTGACAAAAGAGCTACTATTGACATTTGGTTTTCAATAAAATTTGTAAATAAATTTTCTCCACTTTCGTAGTAGCTTGCCATCAGTGTTTCATCAACAGGCTGCGAATTCATAGTTTTTCTACATAAATATATAGTCACAAAAATTGGAGAGGAGTGTGCCAAATGGAGTCGCCCGACGTAACCCGTGCCCAGATCGCGGCCCTGGTAGTGCGGGTGTGCGTGGTGGGCGTGATCACCTATTACGGCGCCAAGTGGATGGTCAACTCGATGGATCCCAATAGCAAGATGCGTAAGAAGGCCAAGCAGCTGGCGGAGCAACAGCTGAAGAAGCTCAACTCGACGGACAACGAGGCGGGCCAGAAGTTCCGGACAAAGGACTTCAACGAGCACGAGGTGATGATCGCCTCTCTCTTGGTGGCCCCCGAAGACATAGACGTTAGCTGGGCTAACATTGCAGGGCTGGACGGGGTGATTCAGGAGCTTCGGGAGACGGTGGTGCTGCCGGTGCGCCACCGCGAGCTCTTCCGCCGCTCTCAGTTGTGGCGGGCGCCTAAGGGTGTCTTGCTCCACGGGCCGCCCGGCTGCGGTAAGACCCTGATCGCCAAAGCCATTGCCAAGGAAGCCGGCATGCGGTTCATCAATTTGGACGTGGCCGTGCTTACGGACAAGTGGTATGGCGAGAGTCAAAAACTGGCTACCGCCGTCTTCAGCCTAGCCCAGAAACTGCAGCCCTGTATTATTTTTATCGACGAGATAGAGTCCTTTTTACGCATACGAGCCAGCGGCGATCATGAGGCTACCGCAATGATGAAGACCCAGTTCATGTTACAGTGGGACGGCTTGGTGAGCAACGCCAACGCATGCGTCCTCGTCCTAGGCGCCACCAACCGCCCGCAGGATTTGGACAAAGCAATCCTGCGCCGCATGCCGGCCCAGTTTCACATCGGGGTTCCCCGCGACTTCCAACGGGAGGAGATTCTTCAACTGATTTTGCAATCCGAGCAGCTGCACAGCTCAGTAAACCTGACAGAGGTGGCTCGGCTCAGCACCGGCTTTTCAGGCTCCGATCTGCGGGAGCTTTGTCGCCACGCCTCCATGTACCGCATGCGCCAGTTCATGAGGGACAAATTGGGGGATGAGCAACGCGAAGAGGCGGGTTTCATGGGGGACGGAGAGGTTAACGAACAATCCCTCCAGAACTGCGACCAGCTGGAGATTCACATGGAGGACCTTCTTAAGTCACTGGCCATTATGAAGCTATCCAAGTGCCAGTCGCAGAACACCTTCATCGAGAAGGATCTGGAACTAGATTAGAAACTCGATCCGGAATAGCCGCAATAAATGCTAACCAAGCTTGATTTACCTAAATTGTCGGCTAAGTTTCGTAAAAGTAATATTAAAATTGTTATTGTTGATCTAAGGATCTGTTGTTGGCCACAGTTTTTAGACTTAAATACCATTATTCCCATTAAAATATTTCCAAAATTGTTTTCCATGTATACATATATAAATCATAATCTATCAGTCATACAAAATTAAATGTATTGTTCTTTATAGATATATAGTTTTTCGCAGTGCTTCTTTATAAACTATGCCCACTTATTCTCGCCTAGCCGAGTACAGTCTACCAACTACCACCCACCGCCACCGCACAGGACTGCCAGCATGGCCAATATTTTTCACATTTCATAGCATGCATGAAGTGTTTTTGCCATGAAGAGCAGCGAGAAATCAGAAAAAACTACAGCAAACGGGACCAGAAGCAAACGGAGGCTGTGAAAGGACAGCAGGAGCAGTAGCTGGAGCAGAAGCACCAGCAGAAGCGGCTGTGGCAGAGCTACTGTGGCAGTGGCAGTGGCAACAAAAACTCAAAATAACAACGGCTACTGCAACAACAACACAAAAAATCTTTTATGTAAAATTGAATATTCATAAGTTGTTCTACAGTAGCGGCAGAGGCAAAAGCCTAACTGTGGGATTCAGCCTTCATTGGTGCATAATACCCTCCCTTGCCAGTGGTGTCCTTGCTGATAATAGCTACAAAAAATAATAAATAATTTATAAAAAAAATAGATTCCATATTAAATGAGATTATTACAAAAAGATTCTGCTTTACTAAAAGAATCAGAATATAAATTCTGGTTTCAAAAAAATTATAAGTATTGATAACGAAATTATTATAGTTTTTTTAATAGAAACGAAATTCTTGCAAAATTCTTATAAAATTTTAATGAATCTTCTTTTTCAATAAGTACACAATTTAATGGTAAAGAAAATTAATAATGATAATTTTAATATTTAAATTCTTCTTCTAATTATTTATAATTAACATCTAGAGTATTTAAAACTAGGTTGCCAAAAAAAGAGCTTTGTGTTTTGTTGTTCCTATCGTTGTTGCATTGGACGGGCAGTTGATTGTTTTTGTGTGTAGTTTTGTTTGGCTGAGTGAACCTGCAGACGCTTCCCCACCACTCCCATTGTGCCGCACCACCCACCTCCCCCTTCCACCAACGCACACACAACGCATTCCCACACACACCCACACATGCCACATGCGAGCAAAAGCTGCCGTTGTTTGCTATTTTGTCATGCAAATTGTATTTATTGCGGCCAAAAACCAACAACAACAGGATGGAGACCAGAGATAGGGGGCGGTACCTCGCCGCCACGCCCCTTGTAATTGTTTGCGATTTGTCACTGTGTGCGTTCGCGCTGTGTGGCAGGCTCTCTCTCGGAGTGTGTGGGTGAGGGTGCTCCATTGTAAACAAGAAAATTGACTGCCTACGGCGCCTGGAAAACTCGGAGACACATTTTCCGAATTATTATGCAGTTCCCAGCGGCCAATGAGATCATATAAAGACATTCTGACTTTTCAGGACAAAGAACTCCATTCAATTTCCACCTTCAAACTATCATAACTTTCTACACTTCTAACACATCTATATTTATGCAGAACAACTTTCAAAACAAGAACATAATCTTTAATACCATCCCAAACCGATCACCAAAATTATTACTAATCTCGCTTTTATTGAAAAGTTTTGGTATTGCCATTTGCTCTTAGACGGTCTTATATAAAAAGGTCCAAGTACTTTACAAACAAATAATTTGATCTGTACAAATAATCATATTCAATTTTATTTTCTTTTTATCTTTAAAAATTATCTTTAAGAAGAATAAAATAAACGAAACGACAGTTTAAACTACTGAGCGAATTAAAAAGCTACTATCAGCTTAGTTTCAACAAACCCCACGAATTCTTCAAGAAAAACAATAGAATACATATTTTTTAATCAAATGGTAATGAAAAATTGTAATCACCTACCTAGAGGTTAAACGGCTGCCCTTGTTTCTTATTGATAATGAGTCTGACCCTGTTCACCTAAAGACCACGCTTAGGCATTATCAGTCGCTAGAAAAAGCTGAGTTAGCAATCAAAAATTATTTTTTAAATGTAATCATAGGTCAGTTTTTCTGAAAAAAACAAAATCATAAAAATTATAGTGGCACGTTTGCGGAAGTAGCTTTGATTAAACCAATTGTTACAAGGGTAAATGAACTAGAATTTTTTATATTTTTTTAGAGATTTTCTACCAGCTACCAAAGCGTGTAATACTAAGGATATATTAGAATATGCGTCGATGGGGTCCATCTATTAAGTCAACTAAAAAGAGTGACTATTTATAATATGCTGTTTAATTATCCGATTTTACGGTTAAATTAAAATGTTAAGCCTGTACATGTTTTTTGGATTACCATTTTAATTAAACTACATACACATCCTCAAAGTACTTGCCAATTAACACACTCTTCAAATGACAATTTCTTTGCCTCGGCTGTTGATAAACTGCATAATTTATGTGATTTGGCTCACAAGCGGGAGCGTTCCCACGCACTCATTGATGACAATTATTTGAAATACTTTCAAGTGTGTGGGTATGAGTTTATTGAATTATTAATTAACTGCAATTGCATTATACAATTTTTTATTTATGCTGTCATCAACTGGCTGCGAAACCTGAACAAGGACTCACCCATTCTAGAGTGCATAGAGCATCATTAAATTATTTTAATTGCATTCATAATTAAATTGATTTCAATTGAATAGCGTTCCCATTCCACTAAAGATTAATCAGTATACTGTTCCCACAAAATGCCCAGCTTAGAATAATTGATGACATTTGATTTTAATTACACTTTACAATTCAACTTGAAACCTTTAACTGAAACTGGCATGTTCAGTTTGTGCAGAACCCGAGGCTTTAACTAATTTTATTATAAAGCATTAATCATGCACCGCCTGTTAATAAATATTAATGTCTCTCTCGGCCAGCCAGCTGACCACCAATTTAAGCCCATAAAATTTCCAGAATATTTTGCATAAAAATATTCTGATTTACGATGGTGGCCGACAACAAAAGCTGACAAGTTCATTCAATGAGTGAGACTAAAAAAGCGGATACACAATTAATTATCTAATAACGAAAACGGAATGTTTTTATTAATTGAATCCGGTTTTATATGCTCTACCACATTCCAAAAGTTATATGTAGTTTAAATTGAAAGAAATAAAATCGTTTGTATTTCTTCTTATGTAAAAAAAATGGATAACCAATATATGACCACAAATTTTAGATATACCTGAGTTTTATAGAGAATCACGGATTATTTTAGTGGTTCCTGTGGCAATTTGTTGCATTCGTTGCTATAGTAGTGCATTCTAGTCATTAAACGCATCTGTGTGTCCAGAAAAAAATGAAAAAAATTTGTTTGAAGAGACAAAAAATGAAAACATAGACACAAACCAGTAGAACGACGGAAAGAGGCATCAGAAGGGGAAATATTCTTCAGAGGAAAATGGTAAAAACTGTTCTTTTGCCTCTGACCATTTCTATTTCCTTTGGCCATTTCTAAAATTTGCATTTTTCATGCCACAATGTATAAAATTCATATTTATAAATCTTTTAACTGCACACACCACACCAAACACAAAATGGGACACATCAAAAGCACGGAGGGAAGTGAAAAATGTGGAAATAGGAAATGAAAATCTAAAAAAAAAACAATAAAAAACAGAGGCTTGGGTGGTAAGTATTTCTGAATACTCTCTCCTTTCCGGTAGCCGATTTACAGACACATCATAAACTACAATTTTAAAGGGTTTCTTAACCACAAAACTTCACTCTCAGGAGAGAATACGAGTACTTTCTTTTAATGTAGACTAGAAGTAAGCAGCCTTAAATATTAAATGTTATGTGCCCACCAACATTTCAAAGTCGAATATTCTTTCTTGAAGAGCATAAAAGTGATACAAAACCATTCACACTTTCTACATAGAAAAGAGCAGCACCCAAAAAGAGCAGATATAAAAATGTGTTGCAAGTCAGCAGTGAATGAATAAATGAATGAATGTGAATGAATATGACTTTGCCACACCAAGCAAAACACAATAAAAATGCTATAACCTCCCCTGTGCAGTCCGGGCTCCGGAACGGCCCGAAGGAGCCCAAAAGCCTGGAGGCGGAAGAAGGGAAAGCGGAAATAAGGCCAAGGGACGGGTCACCTCTGGACGGCGCTGTGATTTTTCATTTGGAGCTGCGTTTTTCCTTGGGCCCCAGACCGAAACTTCCTTGGGCAACAGTTGTAGCCAGATGGCAGACCCTAAAAGCGTGCCGCATGCAACTGCAAAGTGACCAAGCGTCCGCATTCAGATGCATATATTTAAAAAAAAAACACTCTCACGCTTACACAGACTAGGTAAGGACGCTTTTGGCCTAATGAATAATAAATAAGTACTGGTGCAATTTCTCTATGTCGGTATTAGACCTTACGTAGGGTCTTTTGACAAATTTATTTTTGACGGAATGAAAAGAGTTTTTAGGGCCAATATTTACAGCACGTGAAAAAAATGTATGATTTAATAGAAAGATTATTTTTATTTTGAAATTTGGAAGATTTGAAATAATAATTCATTGTTTAATGATCTAAATTTCGTGGATATTGTTGGAAACTTTATTAAAATATTATATTGTTGACCAGTTTAGACTAAACACAGACTGGCAAGACATCCTAAATTCCAAACTTTCATGTCCTCAGACTCAGACGAGGCAAGCTTACACAGTTTTCTCAACCACTTGGCAGTGCACGCCACCTTTTATTTGCCTTTTGCTCAAGGTAGGCATCTCTGGCTTTGCCATTTTAATTTTAGGGTGCCACGCGTTTGCTGAAATTAGCGTGCTGCCCCCAACCACCCACACATGCATACCTCTTCAGACACACACACACACACTGCAAGTTGCAAGGATACATTAGCGTCTGCATTAAAGGCGTTGACGGTGCATTTTTTGGTGTTGGCCAAAGAACTTTGGCGCCAAAGTTGTTCAAATAAAAATTTCGAAACGGAGGAGGAACTTCGGAGGCTGAAAGTCAAAAAGCTGCCTCTCATCAAGTTCGCGAGGCTGGCTGCAAATTTGCCCAGCACTGAGCACGTTGCCGTCTATC